CGCAACGCGTATTTTAAATTGAACAACTTCCCCGATGTTTGCATCGGCTGGCATCGGTTCGGCTTCCCATCAGGCCCTTCCGTTGACGATTCAATCCGGCAACTTTTAATTAAAAGTTGCACGGTAAAATTCGAAACAATCGGGAAACGCCATTCATTACGGAACGCTCCGTTGCGAATTACAAAAGCAAATTTCGACTCGACTCGACTCGATTTGCCGTTGCTCGCTCCTCGTCCTTCCCGTCACCGCTCGTTTCCCATCGATTCCACGTCCACCGATCGACGCATCCTGATGGGATCTGAAACGTTTTAAATCGCTTGGAATCCGCATCGCGCATACACACGCGGCGACAAATTCGAATCACTTCGAACATGATTCGAAGCTTCAAACTTTTGACACTACGTTTCGATTCTTCGGGGTCACGAATTTCTTGATAGTCTCGATAGGTTTTGAAAGCTCCGCGAGTATTCAATAATCTAGCCGTATAATATTAACATCTAGGTAATATTTCGAGATTGTTTTAATTATTTCTGCTCAAACGGTATAACTAATACAACTGATATAAAATACCAAAGAAAGTGCGAGAAGTGCGAATTTTCGGGAATTATCGAGACTTTCAAGAGCTTTAAGCTTCGAATCATGTCCGCAGCGATACGAATTGTTTGCCGTATATACAAATTCGAAGCGACTCGAAGCGTTTCGGATCCCATCGCTATCGTAGCTTCTTTCACCGGGGAAACTTCGCAGGCTCGTTGATCACGTTGTACGCTGTAATCGCGCGAGTTCGCAACTCACAACGCGCGCTCAATCCGTGTACGTTGATCTTCCGGGTCGAGTCGCCGAAACTGGCGTTGTTTAATAAATTTTCGCTGAGCTGGCAAATATTGTTGTTTGCCAAATATCCAGCGGAACGGAAACCATGCTAGAGCTTCGAGAGTCGAGAGTCATCCCCCGCTTTGGGGAAACACGGTTTCCTAGTCGACCACGCGAGGCGATGATGCGCGGAGAATCCTCGAACCGACCAAATTATGCGCTCGGAATTAATTGCCGGCGAATCACGTTCACGAACTCCATCCATCCTGTAATTAAATTAGCATGCCGGAACGCGGCGCGCGTCCGATGATCGGCCAACGCATCGCGTACACCGGTCCACGTCGCCAACCTTTTCCTTTTGTTTTTTCTCCGAGTTCTCCACAGGTGTCTCGGAGTCGTTCGAGAAAACGGCCAGAGGCGAGTCGTCGATGCCGCGGCGCGATTTCTCGTCCATCGATCTTTTTTTTCATTAACGTCAATGGTCGTGTTAACGAAACACGAGTCACCGCGCTGATGGATTTTAACGTACCGACGGATTTCGGACCTTTCGATTCGGCTTGCTATTCAGACTTCTGCCAAATACCTTCTAAATATCTTCTAAATACCATAATTCGGATTTATTCCAGCACCGGCAATCTATCCATTGGTTAACTATCTTTGATTTTCATCGATCTTTTCTCCAAATCGTTTCTTACGTTCAGGACCTGGCCTGGTCTGCGGCCCGAAGATGGGAGAAGGCAGATAGTTTCATCGCGTTTCTTACGCATCATACCGTGCCCTTTATACTTTTTTTTTCATTCGTGACCTCTGGCATAAATATACATAGAGCAACGTAGAGTGTAGAGTATTTAGCATACGTAGATCTATGTACGT